CCCCAAAACCCCAAAACCCCAAAACCCCAAAACCCCAAAACCCCACTGCTGCTTAATAATGATTAATAATAACCCTAAAAATATGAACATTCCAACCGTAAGTCTTTACGCACGAACCCGCCCTTCTCCTTCTTGCCTAGAATAGCCTTGGCGGGCTGAATAGGGTACTTGGAAGAGAGGCAGAGTGGGATAGGGCTTAGAGGGGTTTTAGGGGTTTTTGAATTTTTGGATTTTTGGAATAGGATGGTCAGAAATTATGGTGAAAAATTGAAGAAAAATTTTAGGTGGTGGATTGGGAAATTTTTGTGTTTTAATGATTTTGGGGCGGGAAATAGGGGATTGTAGAGTTGTGAAGGAAGTTTTAGTGGATTTATTGGGACGTTAAGTGGTTATATAATGAGGGTAGCAAATGGCAACTTTTAAGGAAAGTAGAACAGAGTCATGCCATTGTGGCAAAGAAGGGCATGTGGGGATTCTGAGTTTTATCCGGTTTTCCTTTAGAGACTTGAGTGATTTTGAAAAGGCGCTCTTGCTTTCCAGTGATCTGTTTATTTAGGTCACACATTTTTTTGTGTTATGGCTTAACCTGGTAATAGAAAATCGAGATTTTAAATTTTCTGGCAAACATTTTTAAATTATCAATTGGAAAATTTATGAAAGCTAACAGTTAAGAATTGACAAGAAGAAAATTCTTGAAGGCAAATTTCTTAAAAATTTCTATAATCTTGCTGGCGATTTCTTAAGAATTAGCTAAATTTTTAGCCTAAGCGTGGTTTTGAGGTATAATTCAGGGTGGACTAGTTTAAGATATTTTGGGTTTTAACTATATAGATCCAGAAGTGACCGAGCAGAAGTCTGTGAATTGGGATTTTAATGCTCAGTTTTTCTTTGATTTGTAGAGCCTTCATTTTGGAGAGAGATAAGGTAACTTTTTACAATTATTAATAGTGATTTGAAGGGTACTTTAAGAATGGAGAATTTTGAGAACCTTGAGATAGTTCATGAAAGCAATGAAATAGGTCTGATCAGTGAACTAAATGAGAGGACTATATGTACTTGAATCAGACAACACTCTTATGTGAAAGTTGACCTCAAGGATACTATTATGATATTGTCACTGAGATTTGAAGAGACTGAAGTGGAAGCTGTAATGGAGCATGAAAAATTCAACAAAGTTGCCTTGACTGTCCAGAAGGTGCAGTTTTAGAGTTAGACAATTTACAGTGAGTTGATCCTTATCATTACATGGATGATAAACCATTTTCAAAAGGAGCAATTCTTCAGAGTCCTGAACTTAATTTATCTCCTGTTATTCGAAATTTCAAAGAAGAGTATACCATTGAATACTACATCGATATTTATAGCGAACAACCTCTTGAGTTAGGGACTCTAGAGTACCCTTATCGCTCTTTCAAAGCTGTCAGCTATGAAATATTGACCTTCTACAGCCACACCAACATTTCTGTTGTGATTTACACAAAGGATGCTTATATTAAAGATGATACTAATATTTATGTTAATATGACCTCAGTAACAGTTCTCCCTCATCCACAATGGAAAAGTGTCCTTAGCCCTCCTATGCTAATTCCAACTCAAGTACCTCAAACAGAGCTTCCCTCTAAAACTTTGTTTCATCTCCTTCGTTCCACTAAGCTTCCCATCAAAACAACGATATCTGCTGGTGAACTCAGTGAATATGAAGTTGCCCTACTTGAAATAGGTAAAATTACAATCCTCCCTATCCAGACAAGCTTCACTATGAAAGACATCAACATCTACAGGGAAGAGAAAACTCCAGACCTAAGTTTCTACCTGATTTACTGCGGGAACTTAAATTCAAAAACCTTACATATCGGTAAGTACAATTTGTAAACCTCAAAATATTTCAGGTATCGAATTCCAAAATTAGAGCTAATTTGGCGAATAAATGAGTTTAGAGGATACAAGAAAATATGGATGTTGTCAAGAGGGGTATACCTGACCGAGTTTGGGATTAGATTGAGTTGGAGAAATTATGGCACGGGTTGAGATTTAGAGATTAGATAAGTGATTTAATGAAGAATGTGGGGGTTCAGGTGGTATTGGAAGGGTGCTGGGGTTTAAGATACTTTATGGGTTGGTTTTGAATTTTGGGACAATATTGATTAGTAATCATTTATATTTCGAAGTTTTTGTGAGGAAATCTCATATTTTTGGACCATTAATTTGGTTGGACAGATTTTCATATTTTTAGAAAATGTCAACCTGAATATAACAGGAAGCTTTGTTCAGACAAACAGACCTTTAAATGCAGTCATAAAATCAGTCAAGGCTGACTTGGTCAGACTAAAGGACTTCTATGATGCTTCATTAGAAAATTGTAATTATCCCGAAGCTAACCTCACGACAACTCTTGTTTTTGATAACTTCTCGTTTGTCAATAGCAACATTTCTAATGGAAGAGCCCCTCAATCAATTATCAATTTGAGTGGACCAGAGAATATTACAGCTACTAATATTGATTGAAGAAACTGGTTTACTTTGAGATTTAGTGACCACAGATGCTTTGCATACCGGACAATCCCTAATTGTATTCCCCAGGACTCTTTACTGCAACAAATAACAGCAGTAAGAGTAGCGAATGATTTGATCGCTGATAGTTCTAAATATTATGTTGCCAATGTAATAACAACTGACATCCCTCACTATCGAAACATTCACCAGCATATTGAAAAATACACAGCTGATAATTTGGTTATCAATTCGTTTAAAATTTATTTTTCATCGCTTTCATCAATTATGGACAGCTGGGTATTTAAAGATGCTATATTTACAAATTGCACAAGTACATCTCCCTTTGTTTCAACAAGATTTGCTAACTGGGCAATCAATGAGAATATTACCTTTACAAACATTCCAAAGTGCTCTGGATCTTTGATAGAATCTATTGGAGCTATAGATGTGACACTCAAAAACATCTATATTCAAAATTACACTTCAGACAAGGCAGGGAGTTTCCCTGCAATCGATATCAGATCTCTTTCCGATTCCACTACGATCATCCAGAATATCTCTGCAAGAGACTGCTTTTTGTATGGCAATTCTTTGATCTCTCAGATGAATAATCTCAAAGAAATCAGAATTCAGGATGGTTATTATCACAACATAAGACTGAAGACTTCTGCTGCCTTGCTTCATCTTTACGATGGTGATGATTTCTTAATTTCCAATCAAACTATTGTTTCTTCTCATTCTCTTAACCAAAATGAGAAGTCGACTTTCTTAGAAATTTTTGTCATTAATGTCCCAGAATCAAATCATTCAGTAATAGAGGATATCGTTTTTGAAGATTCTTCATTAGGAGTCATCAAAATAGGCTCACTTCGGGGTTCAACAGATCAAGTCAAAACATTTACTTTGAACCAAGTTAGGTATTTAGACTGATATATATTTCATTCTGATTCGCTGATTTCTACTGGAGGAATGATATCGTCGAGTTTATATGAAATCAGAATGAACTCCATAGCTTTTGAGAATGTTTCATACTACTCTTGGGGCGATCTCATCAACTTAAGGCACCAGCTCAGTATCCCTGCTATTGTGACAAACCTTACCTTAATTGAAGTGAAATCTGCCGGAATCAATGCAGAATCTTTCAACTCGTATCTTCCCGGCTTAAAGACTTCTGTGACTTTTGAAGACGTTTACGTTAGAAATGCTTCAGTTACTAAGACGCCTCTTATCAGGACAGATTTTGACTCGATGTTAAAGTTTATCAATGTTTCTTTTTCAAACATCCAAAGCACTTATTTAGATTCTGGGATATTTAATAGTGAACATAACTCATTGATTGTTATACAAAATGCTCTTTTTAAGGACAATTTGGCAATATCCTCATGAGTATTTAAAGTCAAAGATAACTCTGAGGTTCAGTGAACTAATTGTACAATGACTCATAACTTTGCTGTATCAAGTGGAGTAGTTTCTACAGAATCAAATGGAAAATTCGAGTTTGTCAGTTCTCAAATCTACCTCAACTATGCAATCCAAAACTCGATCGGGCTGCTATATGGACTCGGCAAAGCCTCAGTATTTTCCAAGTAAGTAGTTTTGAAATGAATAAACCTATCATAAATACACTCATACATAATACATTGCAGTTAGCCCTGTCTCTAATCTCAACTATAGCTGCGAGATTTATCAAAATGAAGTTTTAGACATATCAGAATTACTTCTTGAGCTTACAAATTGCTCCAAGTTTTGACATATGAATGATAATTTCAAAGAGTACCTTACCACACTGGATCAGTCGAGTATCACAATGTCTCAAGCAGCTGTTCAAGTTCTATTCGGATCATTAGATATATCAAATGAAACAGAGATTTACTATCAGCAAGAATTTATATCTGCTTCTGATTCCTTAATCACAATATCTAATTCCACAATATCCCACACTAAAATTCTGTATTACCAAAGTGTAGGGTACAACTCCAAGTTCATTTTCAGAGATGTGCAGATTATCAATGTGACTCAGCCTAATAATGACAGAGGGCTTATTTTAGCTTTATCAGGAAGTGAATTTGAGGCATCAAATTTAACCTTTAAGAACTCGAATACTCATTTATTTTTGATCCAAGACTCCAGTGCCCAGCTGGAGCAAATACATTTTGAAAATATTCACAATGCAAATTTTTTGCTAGATTTTATTAGGTCAACTTGGGTGTGCTTGAAGGATATTAAAGTTCCCTCTGAGATAGACATTACTGAGCAATATTTTCACTTCAAAGATAGTGAAAGGATTGAACTAATAAACATTATAGCCTCAGGCTTAAAGATACCACTTATAAAAGCAGAAAACTCCCACTTCAATTTGATTTATAACCTCAGAATCAGCAACAGTTTAAAAATAATCGAATTTAATGACTCAGATATTACAAACATGACTCAGTGATATTTTGGAAATAATGGGGATGAATCTATTCTCGTAGGTGGAGCCCTGACTCTTTATAATTCTGTGATTAATATTGAAAGCTCCTCATTTATCAACAACTCAGCAATAAGTGGAGGAGCAATTTCTTTCCAATGACCATCAGCTAAAAGATGTAAACTACAGATGATGAATTCAACTTTTTCTAATAACTCAGCTGTTTCCAAAGGAGGAGCTATTTATTATGACTATAATCCTCCCTTGCTCAGCGGGGTTGTGTTTAACAATAACTCAGCTCCTTATGGAGATAACCTTGCGAGCTATCCTTATTGAATTGGATTTGAAGGCTTTCAGTGAGACCAATGCGAGCCTTTGAGTAATCTTACATCAGGAATCCAAAGTGAAACTCCTCTGAAATTGGCTATATATGATCATGAGCACCAGATTGTTAGTCTAGTGAATTCTTCTCAGTTAATAATTACTTCAATGGATACAAACCTCGGGCAGGTAGCTGGAGATAACAACGCGATTATCAATGATGGAGTTGCTACTTTTAGTGATATTCGGTTCATTTCTCAGCCAGGCTCGAATTCAGTGGGATTTAAGATATCCTCTATAATATTGAACAAGAAGAAGCTGCTTGCTGTGTATAATAAAACTACAACGGTTAAAAAATGCAACACAAATTTTAGGTACTGCCAACCTGGAGAGAGGCAATATAAAAATAAATGTGAAATTTGTTCAGCTGGGACATTCTCTCTCAAATGGAGTTCAACCGAATGTGAAAAATGAATTGGCAATGCTGTTTGAAGAGGAGGCGCTGAACTAAGTGTTAGACGGGGTTACTGGAGGAGAACCTCTAACTCAACTACCATTATAAGGTGACTAAACGAAGATGCCTGAGAAGGTGGTTATGCTAAAAATCCTTATTATCCAACTAATTGTAAAGAAGGATATGAAGGACCGCTATGCTCCAAATGAAGAATCATTGGAGATGTAAAATATCAACGACAAAACGAATTTGGGTGTGCCAAATGCCCAAGTGTTGAATTTACTGCTGTACTAATGATTTTTAAGGTAATACTTGCGATAGCTTACTTCATGATCATCATTGGAATCAATGTTAGAAAAACAAAAGGTAAGATTTTATTTTATATATTAGAGAGCGAATTATCTGTATTACTAAGAATATTTACCAACTATATCCAATTGATAATGGCATTATTATCTATGAGCACTAATTTCCCGAAGTTAGATAGCTATTTTGCAACTTCGATCGATATAATCGGAGGATCTTCGACTTTATTGCTATCTTTTGATTGTTTAATTTCAGAATATGAAATTACTGGCCCATTTAGGTCTAATGCTGTATTAAAATTATTTTTACTGGCGATTTTACCCCTATTAATCTTTGCCCCAATATCTATTTTCTGGATCATTCTTCATCGGGTGAGTAAATAACTATGTGAGAAATCTTACTAAGAATCTTATTGTTACCTTCATTTCTATTATATTCTTGTTACATCCAAGATTGACTCAAGAAAGCATAAATATCTGGAGATGAATGGAAATTGACAATGGAGTTAAAGTGGCCAGATTTGATATGGACATCCAATGTTATTCAATGACTCATTTAAAATACTGTCTTTTGATCTCAGCCCCAATTTTGATAATCTGGGTGATCACAATGCCAATGATTCCATTTATAATTCTTTGAACCAAAAGAGCAAAAGAGGAAGATCAAAAGGCTAAGGAATATTTACTTATCCTTCATCAAGGGTTAAAAGATAAATGCATTTATTGGGAATTTGTGAAAACTTTCAGAAAATTTTTGCTAGCCACATGTCTCCTACTCAATGAGAAAGCTAGGCTTAGTGTAGCCTCAGTCCTCTTGATAGTTTCATCAAGAATTCAACTGTGGTTGAAGCCTTATAAATATGATAAGAACAATGAAATAGAGTATTTAGAAATCTTATGAGGAGCATTTGTAGGTATGGCTGGCTATGTATTCACAATGGATAACCAAGTTGAAGGCCTCAATGCTCTTACAGTCTTATTTGTTATTGCAATAAATTTTGTATTCATATTGCACTGGTTATATTTGCTGTGTTTCAATTATCAGGAAAAGCACTGAATTTTATCCCTTGTAAGTTTATGGATGGATCGATATAGCTCTCAAGAATTTTCGGATGATTATTGTGAATTAAGTCAAAGAAAGACCAAGAGAATAAAAATTTATCTGATCCAAGGATATTAGGTATAGTAAAATACTATTGTATAGAATCTCCTAAGATTCCAATCATTCCCTGAAATAAAAACAAAAAGAAACAAAGGAAGCTCCGTAGGGTCAAAAGAAGATGCAAAAAGAAATCCTCAAAATTTAACTCAAAATTACCAAAACTAACAATTCCAAAAAAGCAACTACACCCAAAGTAACCTCCTCTCCAACCCTCATATAGGCCATGGGATAGCTTTTCATCCTACTCTCCTTCCGACCCTTTCCATGCACCCACAACCACTCCCTTCAAAGTACTTCCTCTCTCACACTCTACAGCCTTCTACCCAATCCCAAACCCGCCCTCCTGCCATCACCCACATTAACTTCAACCTCCCTCCTCAATCTCCTCCAAAACGAATTCTCCATCCCCTAAACCCCAGTTCCAACCTTAACCCCCATAAATCCCTCTGCCCCTCTCCCAACACCTAATCACCCAAAACTCAATTAATTCAATTATCCACCCACACCTTGGGGTTTTGGGGTTTTGGGGTTTTGGGG